AAAAAAGGGAAGAAGTAAATGCCAAAGTAAACACTTGCTGTGAAGAAAGGCCATGGGAGGGACAACGAGAATAACAACTATTAATGTAGTATGCATCTAATCAACAAAAACATTGCTTGTGCATGCCAAACACACTTCTGAGCAAATGATACGGAAGGCAGCTGCGGGAGAATGAACAAGTTGGCTAAACATTCGGAAACTGAACTGATTGTAATAGTAGGATCAGCCACCGATCTCACACACACACACACACGGCTGCAAATCTCCATAAAACATCAGACGCTCCACTGCTTTATCCAACACTCCATCTCTCTTCCCCCACTGACCTCCATGAATTTGATACAGGCTCACAAGTGCCGCCGCTGGGAGACAATATCGAATCATCTGCGTTAAATACAGCAGCTCCAACAAAAGAGATACCATAGAGATTATAATTTACATACAACACAATACAACCACAGACTGTCCAAAAAAACACTCTGTCTAGGACATTGTCTGGGGTACAATAGCCAACCGTCATTCAGTACCTGGAAACCATGAGAAAAGGACTTGTGTTTTATGTCTTTTAATTGCGTTAGACATTGACAGACGTCTGTATCGCTTCGGGTAGACGCTCAGAGCTCGCTTTTGACGTGACGGCTAGACAGGTAAACATGTCAGTGCTTTGCAGACTCATAGCAGGAAACTGAGTCGATCTTGAGTTACGAAAGACAGAGCCTTTGGTTGTTTTAATGTAAAATCTAATCTCGTTCCTCAGTGGGAATGCCACCTACACATTTGAGCTGTTGATGGCTACTGCTGTTAAAAGCCTGTTAAATGGGATTGAGGTGGTTTGACTAAATATGAGCTGTTTCCCAAGACGTTTGAAAGAGTCTACCCTCATTTGAACACCAAACGTGGGGGCTGATGAGCAAGATTACGCCGAGTGCACGAGGGACCTTTCGTTGGGAAGCGTTCCTCACCGTCCTTGGCATACATAATGTTGTCAGTTTGGAGAAAGGACTTCTGAGGGTCACATTCTGACTGAAAGGAGATGGCTGATAAGACCTTGCTCATCAGGGCTAATTCAATAGGGTGCAGGAACACCGGTGGCTGTTTCCCCAGGAACTATAGCAACAAACAGTGGTACTGGAACAGTGGGTGTTCAATTATCCAGCACTTAACATCATTAAACAATTAGACACACACGCAAAAGTAAACAACCCAAAGCATCGTACCAGTTATCTCCTCCTCACAATGTCAGTGTCATTTCCCAAAGAAAGCCGAACACTCGGAAATCAAAAAATCGCCTAATAGTTGTTTTAATAAAAGTAACCGTATGTTTTCTAGACATCAATTAGATCATTTTTAGAGGGGAAAAAATGGGATTTTGGTTTAAATCTCCTGCTTCCCTCTCTTTTTTAATGTCTCAAACTGTGCTGAAATAAAATAAAATAAAATTGAATAGAATGAAATTAAAATAAAATAAAATAAGCTGAATTGAATTGAATTAAAATATACTAAATTAAACTAAATTTAATTGAACTAAACTAAACCAAGTCAAGTTAAATTAAACTAAACTAAACTAAATTGAACTAAATTAAATTAAATTGACTAAACTAAATTAAAAAAAAAATTTAACTAAACTAAATCAAATCAAATTCAATTCAATTCAATTATCTCTAAGGAGCATGGATGTGTCTCTTTGACATATAATACATCCTTTACTGATAACAATACCACAGGTAGCTATAAAAAATTATATTTTGAGGCTCTATAAAAAAATCCATTTGTTCGGGTTTAAATGGACTGGTTGAAAGGGAATGCTTTATAGGATTTCCCACATAATAGACACTCTCACAGTCCTATGTCCATTGGCTCCAAGAACTGTCACCAGTTTTACTGCCTTTGGGAAATAACGTCAAAGCATAGGCCCACGTGAGAAATCCCCAACCCCGGCCTCTTTCTTATACACTCTTACGTGTTTGACTGTATTCAAATACTCTCTGAAATATCTTACACCAAAAAAAAACTTGAAATCCTTCTGACAAAGGAACAGAAAAAGAGAAATAAATCGAATTTGAAAGTAGCCAAGACTGTGGTTTATTGATCGACAATAACAGCATCCAGCATCAAAAAGTCTTCCATGTCTTACGATGGAGCCCCTCTTGGGATCGACATGTCCTGCATAGAGAACAGAATTAACAGAAGCAATGTGTCTTCTATCATATCCATTTAGCAACAACTAAACACCCGAAACCAATATCTACAGTATATGCCAACTCCAGCCTCTGATCTTCTGCTATTGCTAATTGGCTACAGCCCAAAGCAGGACACCGTTGCAGTAAAAAGAGTTGAGATGAAAGAACGGTAAATATAATCCAAAGATATCTGATTTCTTCAGAGATTGCTGTACAAATGGTTTCTCAAGGCAAGAAGAGAGGCCCTGTTCTCGGCTTTTACCACATGTATCACTCATCATCTACAGGATTATGACATCTGATAGCACTGATAGCTATCTCTACAAAGAAAAGCTTCAGTATGGAGCATCCGATGTAAGATAAAGCATGCTGCAAATAACTGCGCAGTTGTGCAATTGTGATTTAAAGTCACCATGAAATCAAAATGTACAATTCTTGTTTGTTTTTTTGTTTTTTAATGGAATATTTCAGTTTATTGTCGATGATTTATCTGTGCAAAAACATTAATAGCCCCTTCCTCTCTCAACAACATCTCTTCTCTGATTTCATGTGAGGGCTGGGGCAAAAATCCATCGCCTCCAGCAACCTGTCACTCAAATAAGATCACAGCAATTTGAAAATGAAAATGACCCATTCACGAGTTCACACTTATATATAATTAAATAGAGTAAAGTTTATGCGTATTTGGCGTGCTGTCCAAGAGGAGGGCTCTGAGCTCGAATTAGGCCATGTTGGGATAGGAATAGTTATAAGTGAGGAGATGAGGTGGTGTTGGGATGTTGGAAAACTGTCGTGCAATAGATACCTCTTATTTCATTAATCGACTTGATTAGCTGAATATGATCCTTCATGAACTTTGTTAATAAAACATTGTATAAAAATTGCTACATTTTGTTTTCTCTTTGGGAAATCCGTTTCACTTAAGATTCTAAGATTTTTAAATAAACATTTACTGTTAAAGTCTAACAATGGAAATGTAGAAGTGGGCTTGACTGAATCGTGAATGGTCTCACAGGTGGTTGGAGGAGAGGGGTTGAAAAATAAAAGGTTTTGGGGATATCATCCAAAAAGGAAAGTTGTTTCAGAGGAAGATAAATTTGTTACATTTTGCTGGAAAAAAAATGTGCAGACGTGAAAATGTGAAAAATGTGATTTTTTTTTTTCTGAGGAATAATATGCACTATATAATGAATCATTCAGAATATGGCAGGGACATCCTGTAATGCTGCCTGAATCATAATCATACACAGTTCGTTCGTGTGCCAGAGGAGAACTGGCCCCCGACTGAGCCTGGTTTCTCCCAAGGTTTTTCCCTCCATTCTGTCTCCTGATGGAGTTTGGGTTCCTTGCCACTGTCGCCTCTGGCTTGCCTAGTTGGAGTCAAGACACTTAATATTCAACAATATTATTGATCTGAATGCATTTTTTTTTCTCCAGAGCTGCTGGTTATATAAATGAACAAAATTAATAACTGATGATTTTTACAACCGAAATGAATCTGAACTTAAAGGAGTAGTTCACTTTTAAAAAACCTTTTGCTGATAATTTACTCACCCCCATGCCATCCAAGATGTCCATGTCATTCTTTCTTCAGTCGAATAGAAATTAAGGTTTTTGATGAAAACATTCCAGGATTTTCTCCATATAATGGACTTCATTGGGAACCAAACAGTTCAGTGCAAACTGCAAACTGTTCAAAGGGCTTTAAACGATTCCAGACGATGAATAAGGGTCTTATCAAGCGAAACGATCGCTCATTTAAAAAAAAACAACAAAAAAACAGTTTAGATGCTCAAATGGTCGCCTTGCTCTGTTCTATGATGCGTGTTCGTGACTCTCCTGTTCGAACTCGTTCATCAAAACGAACGAATCTTTATCCGAGTCAGTTCGTTCATTTTGTTCGTTGAATGAACCAAATGACACCAAAAAAAGATTCGTTCATTTTGATAAACGTGTTCGAACAGGAGAGTCACGAATGCACATCACAGAACAGAGCAAGGCGACCATTTGAGCGATCGTTTCGCTTGATAAAATCCTTATTCATCGTCTGGAATGGTTTAAAGCCCTTTGGACAGTTTGCAGTTTGCATTGAAACTGTCTTTTGGACCTTGAGCCGTTTGGTTGTCAGTAAAGTCCATTATATGGAGAAAAATGCTGGAATGTTTTCATCAAAAAACTTAATTTCATTTCGACTGAAGAAAGAAAAAAGTGAACTTTTTAAAAGTGAACTACTCCTTTAAGCTGGACAATGATACTATTTTCTTCTGTACAGCCGAAAAACTATAGTTCCATTATTTTCCTGCAATCACTGTAAAGCTGCTTTGAAAACAACCTGCATAGTAAACCATGCTATATAAATAAAGGTGAACTGACTTTCACAGTATGACCAGGAACATTTAATATTAATAAATTTGGCAATTTTGTTTTCAAATTGACTTTAAATGTTTACTTAATGTATGAAAATTACAAACAACAATGATTACGTCTGTTTTCTTTACATTCAGCGGCAGTGTTCAAAGTCAACCAGGCGAGATCAGTGAGTTCACACAGGCTTCAATGTTCAATGCAAGAGAAATTGTTGCAATGGGTTTGTCCAAGACTCACAATAAGACCATAAAGATTTTTTTTTTTTTTTAAACCTGGCAAATCCTTTATGTTTAGGCTGTGCTAATATATATACTGAACCTTATGGGAAGATTTGCTTTAACATGCTGTCTCTCTTACATACTCCTACTATATAAACAAAACATGTTTTGGATGATGATAGGAAACAATATATGGCCAAAAAAACAAGACATAACAATTCCGTCTACAAACTCGTACTACTAAAGATATGTGCAGCCACACAAACTCTAGATTCTTGCAAAGTTATGCGGGCCCCACATTCCACACATGCACCTTCACCATCGGCAGCGGGAACTATATCACAGACTCCTGCGCTTGAGCGTGTCGTGTTACCAGCATTTCCTGTGTCTCATATCTGGAACGAACAAACTCTCCAATGGAGCAAAGTAATGCGAGATGGGAGTGGTTCCGTTATGAGGTCACGGTGAGGGACTGAGCTGAACGCTCAGCAGCGAGCGCAAGCGGTAGACATGAGACGGACGCGATAGCTGGAAACATTTATCCACACAGCTGAATGAATCTCTTCTGGCAACAACAAAAAGCAAAACAACAGGACCGCGTTTTCTTCGACAGGGAACTACTGAAACACATCGCGCTTTGGCTTTAAGGGCGCAGGACAGGCGTGTGTGTGTACAAAAGACTCCAAGGAAGAGGCGCGTGAGGAAAGTTTTCCTCCGCAAAAACAAACTGGACGGAACAGTGCAGAAATCGTGACGCATAAGCCATGCACTGGTTGTACAGCGTGGGATAGTTCTTCTGGTGTCGTTCATCTGAAGGGGGATGCCTTTTTGGTGGCTTTTGTCAACAAAACTTTAACGCCAGGAACGCCGTATTATTCTGTTCGACAAGAAAACGCGTCTTTCTGAACGGAACATTTCTCGCGCACGTCCAGAGTCGCTGTTTTCTTCTGTTATTTGTTGGTTTGGCTGGAGGATCTGTTCCTCATCGCGTAGTTTGGGGGACAGGGGTTGGGTTGGATATCTATATATTTTTTTTTCACTTTTCCTTCATGGCCTCCTCCAGGATGTATCTTCTTATGAAATGCATGCTGATTTTCCAACTTGTGGTGCTGATCGCGAAAAACAGTCGGGCGCTCATTTGTTTGCCCTGTGATAGATCCAAATGCGAGGAGCCCAAGCACTGTACTGGTTCGGTGGTGTTGGGGATCTGCGGCTGCTGCTCGGTTTGTGCCAAGCAGAAGAACGAGAGCTGCGGCGGGGTTTACGGTCTGTACGGGACCTGCGACCGCGGACTCCGGTGCGTGATCAGACCCCCGTTAAACGGCGGCTCCATCACGCAGTACGAGGTTGGAGTTTGCGAAGGTCTGTATACTCCTTCCATTTACTCTCTGAAAAGTTGCCATCAATGTTCATTGCTTTAATCGAGGATAATGATGGAGAAAGGAATTAAATAAATCACATCACTTCTGCCTTCATCTGTATTGGTGAAACTAAACCAAAGCGGATGTTTTCTGGCAAGCTCTGTTATCACTTAATTTAGCCTAATGAAACTAACTGATAGGCCTATCACTGTGTGTTACTGGTAATATAGCCAAGTAACGGTTCCATTTGTGTTGCTAAAAATGGCAAAGATTTATCTCTGAATTCGGATGATCTGTGGTTCAGTTGTGACCTATTAACTCCAATTCCCAGTGGTACTACTTGTTTGTTTGTAGTAGTAGTAGTAGTTGTTGTTGTAGTAGTTCATAGTAGCTACCAATTAGTTACAAGTATGTTCCAGTACACATGTTTAGTTCTTGTTTATTAGATCGTGTGACTCTATCCCAATTACTCTAAGCCAAACAAATACCTATTTATAAATCTTACCATAATTGAAATGTTTGTAACAATTGGAATACAGTTGGAATTCCAAGTTAGAATGAAAGTTCTATTATCCAATGAATAGACACTAATAAAGTGTATAGGTTGATAAACAGCAACATTGGAATATTCCTGCTATAATAAGTGAATAGTCCCTATCTGAGCCACAGATCCCTATAGAATTCAATAGAAAGAAAATGCCAGTAGCAATGAATTTGTTATTTATAGTATCTAGTGAATTGATATATTTCATATTGTGAAACTGAAAGAAACATTTTCCCCATTGGAGGAATTAAAAATAGGGCTACATGGTAACATTAAATAGATTTAAAGAATGGATGTTTAAACGGCTTGCCACACTGTGGAAAGGGAAAGAAAATGTGTAAAGTGTAGTAAATCAGTGATACAATGTGCTGTGTTTGAGATGTTAAGAGGATAACCTGGTTCACTGTAGTGTATTATTTTCGAGGAAAGAAAGAAAAACAAACTATTGAACGGTATGAATCATGATTACAGCTAATTTTAGTAGAAATGGACCGTTATCAGGGCTCATTAGATATCGTAATGTGATTGTAATGACATTACGGAGAGGATGACAGCATGTCAGAATGTAGCGTAGGACCTGTAGTACACAACAACACATTTCCCCTGCCTTCTTATGTCGTTTGTAGTGAAAGACAGGCGAGCTGGTTAATGTGTTTGCAGCATGTCGGTTTTCCGTTTCTTTGGGTATGGCTAACGGATTCCGTGCTGTTTTTGGACGTGGTGCCAGTCTCGCTCTTTCCGCCGAGGCTTGTTGGTTTTTCATCGGAATGTCGGCTATGCAACTTAACTTGTGCCTCAGTCAGTTTATTTGACATCGGACCGTCGAGGGACGTGCGCTTATATCTTCATTCACGAGTCTTTGCTTCTCGGGATGCGTTTTTCTCACCTCACCTTGATTCAGTTAATTGTGCTGTCAAGCACGTCTTGGCTCAGGGTCTTCTCTGTAGTAGTGTAGGGGTTTTCTCCCGTAACATTATTTTTAACCCTGGGTTTGTACATGTCATATTTGTAGTTTTGAATGGAAGTTTTTCAATCCTGTGTTATGAAGCCATACTCGAGTTACATACATGAGCTTTGAACAGTCACATAGCCTAAACTTTCACATTCTTGTTTCTGTGCCTGAGATATATGAAATGGGAAACACGTTAACTGAATATTGTTTGTGAGACTTTAGAATATCCAGAATTGACTGGTTTGACAAATAGTCTACAGTTTAAAATTGGATGTTCATCTGTAATATCAATGTTATTGGCCTCAAAATATACAAATTAGAACTAAAACTAGTTTTTTGAAAACAGAAATTCATTCACAGTGTTGTCAATGTCAAATATCAGCTGATTTACTTGTCACCATTTCCAACGCATTTGACTTAAAGGGACTCCAAAATTGAAAATTTTAATCATGGCGGCTTAATAATCATTTGCGCACTCTTCTACCATATGTATATGACTTTATTTACCTCAGATGAACACAAACTGACATTTTGCTACAGAGATTAATCTATGTGAGTTCATATAATGCAATTTGATGGGTCCCTCAAATTTAAAAATTGTAATCATGGCGGCTTAATAATCCTTTGCGCACTCTTCTACCATATGTATATGACTTTATTTACCTCAGATGAACACAAACTATGTGAATTCATATAATGCAATTTGATGGGTCCCTCAAAGTTAATGAATGAATGTCTTCTGAAGTGAAATGATAGGTGTGTGTGAGAGAAAAATGATAATATTTTCAACCTCAAAAACTAAAAATCATTGTTTCCACGCAACTTTTAAAATACATGTTCATGCCTGAGGTAAAAGCGTGATGTTTTGGGTTGAGAATCTGCTTCCCGAAGCGAGTTTCACAAAACGTTTGAGTCGAGCTTCTTACATATACTTATTGTTTCTCTTCAGAAGACATTGATTCATCATCTGGGGTTGTATGGATTACTGTTGTGCTTTGTTTGCATAGTTATTTAAGTGTAAACTTTGAGGGTCCCCCATCCACTTGCATTACAACGACTCACAGAGATGGATTCTTTTTCAAAAAATCTTGAAAAGATTTTTAAGAAAGTCATACATATCTGGGACAGTATGCAAGGGATTAAATTATAATATTCATTTTTGGGTAGAAGATCTTTTTATTTCATGTTTCTGAATTTTCTTTTCTGAATCATGTACACTAATGAAGCGACTACCAGAATGTTGTCATCTGTAGAAAATTAACCGAGAGATGAAAAACTGGCACAGCGATTATCAAGACTCTTAGGCACATTTCTCACAATCTGTAACATTATCTGAACGCTTGCACAGTGGATCGTTATACTTTTTCCTCTGTAGAGTCCTGTCGCTTGTTAGGTCTAGACCAAGTTGGAACGCCGGCTTGGTCAGAGGACATGCATTGCAATGTCACGCGTCAGGTTTCAGCATGGATGGCAATGAAAATTGAAGGCGTCTCGACCATTTGACATGTAACTGCCGGGGTGACATCTGCTGTAATTCAGCCAAGAAAACACTGCGGCACTGAGTGCTACGGCTATCAGATAAATGAGTCAGATGAGAGAGCGCAGCGAATGCCACTATAGGCCACGTCCTGCTAACCTCCTAACAAACTGAGACCTCAGAGGGTCTTAACAGTGAATTAGAAAGTACAAGTGCTGTAGAAGAAAAATGCCTGCCGTGAGTCACCATGAATTATGAATATCTCAAAGTCCAGTGTGTTGTGGGACATTTGTATTGGATTTTCAAAAAAATTCAATTCTGTTATTTATTTACTCTGATGTCATTCAAGACCTGTTTTGTCTCTTCTGTGGAACACAAAAGGGGTGTCAAGCCTTGAAAAGGACACGAAAGCAAAATAGCTCTAATGACTCTCTTTAAAGTTTCCTGAATAACTTTATTGCCGAACAAACCCAAATTTAAATGTTGAATGATAATTACAGAATTTTCCATTTTTAGGTGAACTGTTCCTTTAAATGGAGCACCACAATCCACAGGGGTGGAGGAGAAAACAACAGAAGCAATTTTCTGTTCGAATTGACCTAAAGGTTCACGTCCAAGTCTATAAATTCTTGTGCATTCCTGTGCATGATATTACTTTGACAGGCTGTTTACAAGTGAACACATATATTCGAGATGATGGTCCTGAGATGCCCCGCGGGCTTCTCTGGAGATGGGCTTACCAAGCACATCACATGGAACACCCGGGGGGGTTTAGTGTCAGGACCCTCCAGGTGAGCTTTCCCTGAGAAGTGCTGTATGATGTGCTGCTTCTCTATTCAGAGAAAGCAGTCTGGGGTCCCTGCATGAAGCCGGCCGGACTTGACAGCCCTGTGACATTAAAGTTACTTTAGGGCTTATCTCAAAACGAAAAGACCTTTCAACATATCTCATCATACTGGTCAGTGGATCAACTTGAAAGGATTCAGGTGCAGTGATGTTTTAAATCCTAAAAATCCTACCGTTTTTTTTTTTAAAAAGACAGAAAATTAAACTGAAATTGTTTCAAATCTATGAAAATTTAGCTTACCGTGTTTTTCTTGTAGAACTGCTTTATTTGTTTGTTGGCATCCATATGTTGCCTGATGATTCTACAAGATATTAAGTGTCTGATATTAAAAATGTGCCTTTACAAATCACAGATTGCTCTATTTTTATGAAGCTTGGCAGTGGAAGACCTAGTACAGAGCCAGAAATTAACATATACTTTAACTTGAGTCTTTAGAAAAATTTGCATGCTGCTTTTTTTTTAAGTGAAACAATATATTCAGGTATGTTTTGTTTTTTTTTGATAGGTGAGATAGTATTTTTCCCTATTGTGATGAACATACAAATGAAACAACTTCTCAAACGGAAAAAATGGTGGGCGTAGGGCTGCACGATTAATCGAGTTTTAATTACAATCACGATTTTGGCTTCCCACGATCAAATGCGCGTGATCGAGCGATAATTAAAATTGGTGAGAGACCCAGTGTGAGCACTAGTAAACATACTACATAAGAGGTATGAAAGTTCGATTAATTGACTTCAGTAATCAGTACTACTTATTTTGAACTATTGTTTAATAAATACAAATAATTTGAGCACATAAACTTTCATATGGAAAACTAAATAGATTCAATGTATGCAGTAAGACTTCACAACTTATCACTGACACTGAACATTTTACATTTTTTAAGTGTCAAATAACAATGACTCTGAATTTCATCTATTAATCGAACTTCCATAGTGCATAGTTCTGCCTTGACATGTTCTCATTTGGTTAAATTCTGTTATGGATTTTTTTCTTTTTCTTATAGATTGTGTATATTTTGTGCATTTTTTTCACATCCATTATACAGGTACAATGCAAGTTTATATTTTGCTTCCTAAAATATATTTAATGTAAAAATGTAAAATAGTCCCATGTTAAAGTTTTGATAAATTTTTCTTTATTTTTTAAGAAAATGCACTGAATTTTGGTGAATAAGA